TTGTAACCCTGAGTAGAATGGTTGAATCAGTTTTGAAGTTCAGATAATAGTGTTTTATAAGGCCTTACTATTTGTGATACTAGGTAGTTATTTGGAGAACACCATAACTTTATTTTCCAGGATTAACATTGATAAATTGATTACTACAGAACTGGAGAACTGAATATGTTGTATGTACAGAGTATTTAAAAGCAGATAGAAAATTAATTGTGGCCTTGGTAAGACTTACACAAATAGGCAGGCAGTTTTCTGACTGTTAAGTATTCCTAGAGAATAATCTAAAAAAGACTATTGGCAAATGCAGCCCAATAGTCTTGACTAAATTTGAGTCAAGAAGTTCTTTTCAATATTTAATCTAACTAAGCCTATTCATATTCAGTCATCACAGAAGTAGAGAATAGTTAGCGATTATAGTCCATTTTTCATTAGTGTAGGATTCACATACCAAGACAAAAGCTGCATGAACAAAGGCGTGATGTGCATATTAGTTCAGGGGAGAGCTGGAGTAGGATATTCTTGGCAGATGTTAGAAAATGAGACTAAACAAGGTAGATTGGGGCTGATAGTGTAGGGCCTAGAAATGCCGAAGTGTTTTGACTTTGCTTCACAATAGGAGCTTTTGAGTGAGAAGTCAGAAGGTTTTTAATATTAATTTATATTAATCTGGTAGTGCTTTGTCAGATAAACTAAGGAGAAAATATTTGAAGCAGGGATAAGCAGAATCTCTAATAGTCTAGTTATGAGAAATAAGAACCTGACTTTTTGTGATTTAGTAGGAATGGAGAATGGAATGCATTTTAAAGTAAGAGTATTTGTGTTTATATAATGGAAGTTGAGAGAGAGAGCAGGGAAGTGACAAATCAGAAGTCCTCAAGACTGAGAGATCACTGAAGTAAAGAGTTTATTGAGCCTTTATAGGTGCTAGTCAGGAGAAGGACGGAGTCCTGGGACAGGAAGTTTTTGCTTCACCACCAGCAAGGCCAGTTTACAGGAACAACTTGTCTGCCAGACTCAGGGATATTTATAAGGGTTCTGAAGGATAGAAAGTTCTTTAAGTTTACATTGACTATTGATAAGGAAGGTGGGCTAATACAAAGTGGGAAAAGTCCAGGGATACCTGGCTAGTCCATAGAGAAGACCTTGTGGATTGGTTGTTGATGGTGCTCAGGTCCGGTTCCTGAACAAGAGGGTTGTGTAGGTAATTGTTGAAATGACTTCATCCAGGAACATGGCGTTTCTGGTTAGCTGTGGCCTGTGGCTCTTGACTAATTTCCTTTCCTTGTCTCTCTCCTCCATTCTCCAGCCCTTATGGTACTAACCTTATGTCACTTAATTTTAGGACATGTCAGAATTTTTCTTTACCAGGGAGCTTTCAGATTTTAAGTGTGAATGAATGGTAACATAATATGGCATCATTACCAGGAGCTGAAAATTCAGAAGGTTGAAGGCAGATTGAAAGCAGGGATGATAAATTTGGTTTAGAATAATTAGAATATGGAGCAGTTGTAGAAAACAGAATTGTTCATTGTCTGAAAAGTTTTTTGTAATTATTAAAAAGAAAAAATCATTGAAAGTATAAGGTGGAAGTTGTCCTGTGAGGAACTCCTTACATTATTATTTTCCCAGAAGTTACCACTATTACCAGCTTGGTGTATATATGTATATGTAAATATATGTAAGTATATATGTGTGTGTATTTGTCATTGATACTCTTCATCATTCTTTGGGGGCAATGTAGACATCTCTGTCTTTTCTAATGCATAGTATGGATGTTTTTTAATTTGAGGAAGTTTAATTTCTCATTTTTTATTTTTTAATTTAAAAAATGTGAAGAAAAATTCTTTTCTATTTTTTTGGTACTCATTCAGCCATTTTCATAGAATAAATTCCTAGAATTGGGCCAGGGATAGAAAATTTATCATTTTGATAACAGGTAACTTTCCAGAGAGGTTAATATTGATTTTTTTGTGTATATTTGCAAATTAACAATGTAATTTTTTTGTTTTTGTTGAGGGAAAAATATATTGTGCATTTGGGTGTGCTGCCTATTGGGGATATGTGACAGTGTATTTTAGTTTAAGTTACTAAAATTAACATATAAAAAGGTGATGAAATTGCAGATATTATTTTGGAACAGGAGAGATCTTCCTGGTTTGGGAAATACAAGAGGTCAGTGCACGTATGTTTGGAAAGGGACTAGAATTTGAAGGTGAGGTAATAATGGTGGTGGTGACTGAGAAAGGGATATGGTGAAAATAGGGAAGTCCTGAAAGGCATTTCTAGGAGATTTCAGTGCCAGAAGGGAAGAAGATAAATCACTTTTAACTTTTATTTTCCAAAAATGTTCAGGTCTTACTGAATTCTATTTCCATGGGAATTTATTCCCATTTAAAATAACTCCCATTTAAATTAAATATGAGAATATTAACTTTCAACTGGAATAAAAAAATAATTTATTTCAGCTTGGAAATCTTTCACTAGTAGTGGGAAAAAAGGGTAGCTCTTGATTTTTCTAATGTAGTTAATCTTTTTGCTAATTAAATAAAAAGTTTATTATATTTTTTGGTATTAATAGAAAGTATGAGAGAGGTTTATTGTATGTTTCTATCTCTTAAAAAGTAATTCGGACCAAAGAGCCAGAATCAAACTTACATGCCAGTTTTGTGATCCAATTTATTAATTCCATGAAAAGTGTATGCTCTTGACAGGATAACGTTGTGGCAACTGCTACAAACAGTGCACTCTGCATTTGTAAAGGTTGAACCTTGGTGCACATTAAACATAAGATTAAGGAGTAAATTGTCCTTGAAGGACTTTTCCCACTCTTTTAAAATGTAATTTGACAGGCAAACAAAGCAACCCCAATTTTAGTCTGAAAGTTCTCTTATGTAATATGCAGACATCACATTATCAGAAATGGTGCAAGACTGAATAATTTAATGGTTAGTTTGTGTAAGCTAAAGACCTTTTCTTGTAGTAAGAAAAGTTAATTCATGATAACCTATGACTAAGGGAGATGGTATAGGGAAAAAATATAATAGTCTTGAGAGAGATTAGTGAAGTTTCAGGGGACAGAATTATTTTGACTAAAATTGTTGTTTTAATTATTTACAATAAGAACACTGTCATCATTTTTTACTTCTAGACCCAACAAACATTTAATTACTTCCATAATCCTGGATAAGTTCTTCTGGGGATAATTGAGGTAATTTAATTTTTTGCTCTTAGCATAGCATATAACACATAGGTGATCAATATTTACGTGTTGACTGATTTCTTATCTGAATCTGCAGCCTGAGTGTAGTTCACCTTATATCAAATAATGCTTTCGTAGCATTAGTCAAAAAGTTACTTCCTCAAAGTCATCTTTGTGAACTGTGGTTCCCCCCAGCAGTCGCTTCACTGTTGTCAGGTAGCTGCATCTGTGGAGGTCTCTCATTGCACACTAGGCAAAACCTCAACCTGGACAGGGGAGGATTCTTGACTCTGATTGAGAAAGACTTCTCCAACAGGTCAGACAAGTGTAAGTAAGGAAATAATTCATTAAAGGGAGAGTAGCAGTGAATGGCAGCTGCATTGCAAAGAGCAGAGAGCAGAGAGCAAGGAAAGAAAAGAGGAAGAAAAGGGAAGCTTATTAAACTCCTGCTCAGCCTACAGCAAATCCCTTGCCAGCTCCTGAATCCAGGGTCACCTGGTGTCCAGTGTCTGCTTGAATCTACACAGCATGGGAGCTAAGCACCTACCTGGGGAAGCTGCAGAGCACTGGAGGGAGTAAGTACTTATTCTGAGAACTTCCCAAAGCAGAGAAAGGAGATTTTTGGGCAAGTTACTGAAGAACATGATCATACAGCTGCAATGCTGTCTGGGTCACCCAGGCAATGGGAACTTGCAAGTCCAAATCAGAGATATTTGTAGCACTTTCCTATTTGTCTGACATAGGACAGAGAGAGTGAAGACTTGTGCTTAAGTCTAGAAAATTGAATGAAATAGTGAAGTAACAAAGATGCTTACCACTGGGAAAAGGGGACTCTTATTAACCTCCCAAGAGGTTTGGAAGAGCGCGGAGACAAAATGCAGTTGAGACAAAACACAGTGAAGAGGTCTTTATTTGAAGCAAAGTACACACTCAAAGAAAGGGGAGTATGGGCAACCTCAGAGAGGAGGTGGGTTAGAGCTTAGAATTTGTGTCTTTTAAGGATTACAAGAATTGGAAAAATAGGGCAGGTGATGGGGGTGGGAGTCATAGGCTTGACATGTTGTCTCATGATGTTTGTCTCTGGTGAGAGACATTATGTCACCATCCACAATCAGTCCTCTAGATATTCTATACGATAAGCTTAACACAAGCAATTTATTACTCCTGTTCTTCTCCAAGATAATGGTTACCCTTAAGCAGTGGGGACATATCATTTAGGACTGCTTGCCCTGAGAGGGTAGGTTATTGGCTGGTTACCATAAAATGTGTTAGGAATCTTACCTCCTAACTCCCTGGTTTTTAAAATGGAATCTTAGCCTTAAGATGGAGTGTCTTCTGCTCTTAGTTTACTATTTGTATATCAGCATTTTTTTCACCGTAGGCAGGAAAAATTAATCATGATGCTTGTCCCATGTCCCTGCTGTACCTCATTACTAAGTTTCAGATGGCTTTTTCCCTGATTTTGGAGTATGGATTTTGTGCCAGGATCCATCCTTGAAGTTTACCCCAGTAGTTTTAGGAAACATGGATGGTTTATGAATCCTGGAGTACCAAAATGGGAAAAGTCATACTTCTACTTAGATTAATACTTGAAGATGTGACCTTTACTGTCATAGAAATTTGTGTAGAATTAAAAATATTTGTTAAGATATGATTCAACTTTATTTTTTTATTTTTAAATGAACAATTGAAAATATGAAAATTGGGTTTTGTTATAGAAATGATAAGGAGAGTAAGAAGTGGTAAAAATATGTATCACTGCAGAAGTTCACTGATCGCTAACTAAGTGTGTTTCTCTATGCAGGTATAATTTGGCCTCCTGAGATTCTGTCTTATCAAGAAGGAAGATAACTAAGAGGACTTCTCTCTTGGGAAGAAAACTAAGAAAATAGGAAAGCCAGAACTTATTTTTATATGTTTGTCAGCTCACTTATCAATATGGACACTTTTCCCACCAGTTTTCCTCCTGGTGGAGACAGTGGGCTGACAAGTTCTCAGTCTGAGTTCCAAAAATTGTTACTTGATGAAAGGTTACGGTGTGAACATCATAAAAGTAATTATCAGATTCTGAAAGCTGAACACACAAGGTAAATTACTTACATTTAGAGATGAGGGGCTTGATTTAGAAAAAAACGTCTGAATGTTTGCTCTGGAACAACATATATAATTTTGTTATTTTGCAGTTATGCATTTAAAACTTCTTTAATACAGTAAAATTTTTGCTTTAACATTATTCAGAACTAAGGATATCAAGGGGATTATGAATTTACAAGTCTTCTCTTAAAAATAGCACGACATATAAAACTAAATGTATCTAAGTGGTTAAATGTATTTTTTTTCCATCAATGTAAAATTGCATTCAGAAGTTACAGTGCTAATACTTAAATTGAAACTGTAAAGAAAAGATACTTGTGAATGTAATGAATATACGATACTGGTTTTGTTTTGTAGTGTTGGTTGACTTTACATAAAGTAATGCAATTAGAAAGCACAGGATTCATTTAAAATTGATTCCTTTTTTAAAAAATCAGGTTGCAAGATGAGTACATAAGGTCACAAAACGAACTCAAGCACCTGCTAAATGAAAAGCAAATTCACCAGGAAAAATTTCAGCTGCTGCTTGAAGAGCTAAGAGGGGAATTAGTAGAGAAAACTAAAGACTTAGAAGAAATGAAGCTTCAGGTAAGAAAATATATTTGCATTAGTGTAAAGGCAGTGAGATATTTAGTGAAGTTAGTAGTTTTGGTAAATTCTCTCTATATTCTTAATGATTATTTTGCTGTTATATCCTGGTATTGTGATTTAATCTTCTTTCATATATTCTAGAATGTTAACCATGTAATGTTTAGTTATGAAACTGTTATTTTGTATAAATTTGTATTAAATTACCTGTTCTGATTCAACTAATATTTTACAATTTAGAATAATAGGAAGACCAGTTTGAGTTGATACAAATATTTAAAAATACTAAAGAATATTTTTTAAAGAAAGGTTTACTAGTTTTCCTTTAAGTATTATAACTAACTGGGCTAAAAAAGACTGATGGCTATTTTTAAGGAGCTTCTTAAAAAACACTGTAAAAACAATATTTGTACGTAATTTATGTGTGCAGTGTAAGGTAAATGGAGGTTCTAAAGCAGAGGATAGTATTGAAGTACTAACTACAGTTTCTTGGCATATTTTTCACACTATTAAGTTTTCATTTGCCTGGTAAGGAGAGTAAAGCTGAACTTCAGCATCGGTCAAACTTAGTATAAATTTCAAATTAGTAGGTATTAGTAGTGATATTTTCTAGTATTCATTTAATTTCTGAATAGCACCAGCTGTGTATTTCTGCCTATGTACTACTCGATACAAATAATAATGTATTATTAATATTGGAAGCATAAGTTAATAGAGTAAGGAGTCATCTTTCAATCTACCTAGAATGACTTATCACTCAATTCCTGGATTCCTTGGCAGCAGTGTTGGAAATTAGTCATTCAGTATCTTCTTGAAATTGTTGGGAACATCATCACTTACCTTGGTTTGGAGCCTCCACTATGCTTACTGTTTAATTCCTAGGTATATTTGGTACATTTAAATAAAAATCTCAGAAGTGGAAGTTGAAAAGGAAAATGTAATTTAAGCTTCTAGAATTGGTGGATTAATTTGCAGAAGTTGAGAGGCCTCTATGACGAATCTGTGTGCATTGTACACTAAGCATTGTTTGGGCACTGGAGATGTAATTGCTCTGTGTCTTGAGAGTAACATCTAGGCATGTTATTTGTACCAAACACATGAAAACAGTAAGCTTAAGAAGTCTGGAGTGACTATGTTATTATCAGATAAAATGGACTCAAGATAAAGAGAGTATCACTAAAATTAAAATGACATTTTTATGACCAAAAAGGGATCAGTTTACCAGGGAGATGATGAACTTCAACAAAAAGCTATTTTTTTATTCCTTAGTTTTCTCATGTAGTGAAGGGGATAGTGTTGTTACCTAATAGTCATTATGAGAACATGTGTATTTTATAACAGTATAGTGTCTGCCATATAGTAGATACTCATAAATGATGGCTGTTTTTATTCTATTTGAATGTAGGCTTATGAAAGCATGAACTTCCTTCATTGTGTCTCTACTGCGAAGACATTGCCTAGAAAATATTTGTTGAATGAATGTCATGAATAAACAGACTAAATGAATGAGTTAGAATTTTCTGTTTATGTATAAGAAACAGAAATTTTTTTGCCTTTTCTGTCTTATAAGTACCTGACACCTTATCTGTTCTCTTACAGGTTTCTTACAGAAACCTTATCAGTTTTCTCTGGTAAGAGTTGAATTGTGTTCCCCAGAAAGATATGTTGAGGTTCTAGCTCCCAATACCTTAGAATATGACCTTATCTGGAAATAGGGACCTTGCAGATATAATTACTTAGGATGAGGTCATATTGAAATATGATGGGCCCTTAATCCTATATGACTGGTGTCCTTATAGGAAGAAAACAGAGACAGAAACACACCAGTGTCACCAGTGAGAGGTGAGGGGAAGGGAAGGTAGGCTGGGGAAACTGTCCTGTGATGACAGAAGCAGAGACTGAGGTGCCATAGCTGCCAAAGAGCACTAAGGATTGCTGCACACCACTAGACACTAGGACGAGGCAAAGAAAAATTCTTCCCTGAAGGTTTCAGCAGGAGCATGGCCTTGACTTTGGGCTTCTAGCCTCCAGAACTCTGAAACAATAAGTTTCTGTTGTTTTAAGCCACACAGTTTGTGGTATTTTGTTATGGCAGCTCTAGGGAACTGATATACTATCCAACACAGAATTCCTGTGTGGCACATCCATGATACAGGGATTGTCACGCTCTGCTTCAGGGCTCTCAGTGCTCCAGAACCCAGTGAACTTTTAAAGTGATCCAGTTCCGTTTATGGATTGGCGTATGTTAAGCGTTTTCTTTCACTGGAATGAAAACATCCTCCCTGCAGCCCCCTGTTGGTTCTTGTACTGTCCTCAGATTTACAGAAAATAACTTTGGACATTTCTCCACATGATTCCCAAATGTTAACCAACAAAAATAATTTATTTGGTAATGTTTCTGTTTTTTGAGATACAAATACCTCATTTCTATGACAAAATTTTATCTGGGAAAAATAAGCTAAGGAAACATGGGTACATATATTGAAGCAGTTTAGCTACTTGCTTTAATGTATATTTGCAATTTGTACAAATTGTGAATTAAGTAAAGTTAAGAAAATTCAACAAAGTAAGATCAGCAGGAAATATTTCAATGAAGGTTTATGAAAGATGGTTATTTAAAAAATACACATGTATTATATTGTCTACCTGCAAAGTGCCTTTTATTAGTTAAGATTTAATATCCTTTTGGCTTTTTAAAAAATTTTTTAAAAAAATTAAGATATCATTGATAAACTGTTATGAAGGATTCACATGAACAACATTGTGGTTTCAACATTTACCCTTATTATCAAGTCTCCCCACCCCCAACCCCATTGCAGTCACTGTCTGTCAGCACAGTAAGATGCTATAGAATCATTATCCCTTTGGCTTTTATAGACAAATGATATGAAAGACATTAATTTAAAGAATATTTCTGCATCACTTGTGTAGTTATAGTGAATGTGAATAATAGTGACTAGCTCATAGGATGATTATAAAGGTAAAATGAGACAATGCATAGAAAGTGTTGGTACAGAACTTTGATGGAGTAAGTGGTTAGAACATGTTAATATTATTATTGTTATTTTCCATTGTGGCAAAATAATGGGATCATTTGATGTATTTCTGATAAAAAATTTTTTTTATGACTTCACCAAAAATTATATGCTTTCTTTGTGCCAGGCAGTGAAAACTATATAATTGGCATGTTTTCGTATTATTTCGCTGCTAGGACTCTCAGCAAAGTTTATTTAGTTTCAGTCATGAATTTTTAAAAAATCTCTGGCACAGCAGTATTTGTGCTTAAAATATTCTTTGAAAGACATTGGTCTGTTTTATATTTGCAATATGTCAAGTGTTGGAGTAGTAAAGATTTGTTTTTATATATTTAACATAGGTAACGACACAGAGACTGTTGTATGATAAATCATTCTTTTAAGTTTCTTTTGAGACAAGTAGTTGCAGTATTCCATTAGAAATCTAAGACATAGCATAATTTCCACTTAAATGGCACAGGAAAAATCCTCTAATTCTGCCTTTTGGTTTGTGTGTGCTTGGGGTTGTGGGAGACTGATTTTCTTCCGTGTGTGCTTGTTTTTAGTAAGATTTTTAGGAGGTAATGAAAACAAGTCTTACACTTGGAGGCCATTTATTAGAGACCTCAGAAATCACAAGATTTCCACATAGTCAACAATTTCAGTGTTCTTTTNGGGTTGACAGATTTCTTCCCCTAGTACTTTAAAGATGTTGCTCTTCAGTCTTCTCACTTAACATTGTTTCGCATAAGAAATTTGCTGTCATCCTTCTCTTTGTTGTGTGTATGTAGTGTGTCTATTTTCTGAGCTGCTCTTAAAATTTTCTCTTTTTTGCTGATTTTGAACAAGTTGATTGACATGTCTTTGCACTTTTCTTCATGTTTCTGGTGCTTTGAGTTTACGGAGCTTCTTGGGTATGTGTGTTTATAGTTTTCGTCAAATTTAGGAAATTTTAGACACTGCTTCTCAAGATACTTTTTCTGCTTCCTCTTTCATCTCCTTTGGGGACTCTGGTATTAGTCCCCAGATTTAAAATTTTCCCATACCTCACTGATATTCAGCTTATTCTTAGTGTTTGTTATCCCGTTGTTTCATTTTAGGTAGTTTCTGTTATTGTGTCATCAGGTGCACTGAATTTTTCTTCTGCAGTGTCTCCTCTGTCATTAATCCCATACAGTGTGTTTTTCATCTCAAAAATTGTAGTTTTTATCTTCAAGTCCAATGTTGGTCTTTTTCATAACTTCCTTTTCTCTGCTTAATGTGTTAAATCTTTTTTCCAGCTTTCTGAACATATGGAATTCAGTTAAAATAACTTTTAACATTTTTGCTAATTCTAACACCTGTATCATTTCTCATTGGTTTTGGTTGCTTGATATTCTTTTCCTGCTTCTTGGCATGCATGGCAAATTTTTGTTGGACACTAGATATTTTTGTGTTCTGATAAATATTCTTGAGCTTTGTTCTGGGACACAGTTCCTTGGAAACAGTTTCATCTTTCTGGGTCTTGCTTTTAAGATTTGAACAGCTTAGTGTTTAGTATAATGTGAATTATTTTCAACTGCTGAGATCCTCGGGAGGACTCTACTCATTTTTCTATCAAATGAAGTTTTTCAGTATGGCTTTTGGGAAAGGGACCTATTCGCAGCTCTGTGTGAGCTCTGAGTACTTAACCCTCTAATTCTTTCAGGTGGTTCTTTTCCTGGCTTTGGGTAATTTTTCCTTTCATCAGTGTGCCGATCAGTACTCTACTGAACGGATTGAGAAGGATCTTTTGCAGATCGTCTTAATTTGTTTTCTGTGCCATCCTCCTCTCTGCTGCCCAGTCTTGTGACTCAAGCCACACCCATCTCCTTGGACTCTTAGTTCCATCTCCTCAGATCTGGGAGGCTGTCAGACTGCCTGGGTGTTCCTTCTGTGCCATGGCCTGGAAGCTTTTGCAAAGCTCACTTGGTTTTCTGTCTCTCAGGGTTCTTTGTTTGCTTCATTATATCAGTGCCTTGAAAACTGTTGTTTGATTTTTATCCATTCTACTATTTGTTTTAGGCAGAAGAGTAAATCTGGTTTTTATTTTGCAATCTGCTGGGAGTAGAAACACTTTTATTTTTAATTAACTTTCAAATTATGGAACTCTCAAATAAGTACCAAAGTAGAGAGAATGGTGTAATGTATCCCCATGTATCTATCACCCAACAACAATAATTTCAATAATTATCATCTCTGAGCCATTCTTGTTTTATCTTCAGACACCATCCTCTTTGTTCAGTCCCTCACCCCTCTGGTTTATTTTTAAGCAAAGCATATTATCTCAACTCTTTATAAATATTTTATAATATATCTCTACAGACATACCTCATATTATTGAGCTTCACAGATACTGTGTTTTTACAAATAGGAGGTTTGAGTAACCCTATATTGAATAAGTCTATAGGTGCCATTTTCCCAATAGCATTTGCTTACATTGTGTCTGTGTCACATTTTGGTAACTCTCACAATATCTCAGAATTTTTCATTATTATATTTGTTATGGTGACCTGTGATCAGTGATCTTTGATGTTACTATTGTAATTATTTGGGAACGCCATTAACTGTGATAGAAGGTAGTGAACTTAATTGATAAATATTCTGTGTATTCTGGCTGTTCCACCTACTGGCCATTCTCCCTCCTCTGTCCCTATCTTCTCACCCCAAGACACAGCAGTATTGAAATTAGACCAATTAATAAACCTGCAGTGGCCTTTAAGTGTTCACATGAAAGGAAAAGTCAGTCACTGTGGTGAACTTCACTGTGGTCTTATTTTCAGAAATTGCCACAGCCACCCCAACCTTTAGCTACACCACCCTGAACAGTCAGCAGCCAACAACATTGAAGCAAGGCAGTCCATTAGCAAAAAGATTACAACTTGCTAAAAGTTCAAATGATGGTTAGCATTTTTAATTAAAGTATATACAGTGTTATTTTAGACATAAGGCTGTTGTACACTTAATAGAATGCAGTATAGTATAAACATAACTTTCATATGCACTAGGAAACCAGAAAATCCATTTGCCTCACTTTACTGCAATAGTCGATTCATTGCGGTGGTCTGGAACTAAATCTGCAACATCTCTGAGGCATACCTGTGTTATATATACCAAGGCAATCCCCCCTTTAACAGCATAACCACTACTGTCATTCCTAAAAATACTTATTCCTTAGTTCCTCTTGATATCACATCTTTGTTCAGTTTTCCTTAATTTCCTCAGTTTTACTTGTTTGTTTGTTCTTAAGGTTGGTTTGTTTAAAACAGGATCCACATAAGATTTACCTATTACTCTCTACCTTTTAATTACCACCCTGTCTCAGTTTGGATCTTGATACTATCACCCAGGGATTCTTAACATTATAAACCTGATTATAACAGAAGCTGTATCTGTTTTCTCTAGCCACATTCACTGCCTCTCCATCCCACAACCATCAGTTCTCTTCCACCAAAGGTTTTCATCCATCTTACTTATTCCTAAATATAGGTATGGTTATTCCGTTTTAAGGTTAAAAACCTTCAATGAATAAGAAAGGTAAAGAAAAATGTGTATAGTATGACTTTCTTTATATAAAATGTAAAATGGTTTTTATATATGCTTCTACGTTGATAGATTATTTTAAGGATACATAAAAACTAAGTGGTTTCTTCCTCAGGGAAACTGGATGGCTGAAGTAAAAAACTTAGCTTTTTAATCTTTATGTTTTATTTGAATTATTTTATTTATGGTATTATATTTATTCATGTTAAGTAAAAAAAGTTTTTTCCAAGTAAATACTACTGAACACTGAGTAAATTGTAAGAATATGATCTTGGTATTCAGAAATTGTCTATTCTCGTTCCCATCTCTTTTTTTTGTTCCCGGCCAGGATGCAGCTCTAGGTGGCATTTGGGAATGCTGTCACCATGACCTTTGTTGTCACAGCATCTGGAGATTGCTGTCAGCACTAATGCACAGGGAACCAGGATTCTGAATTTCCTGTAGTGCTTAGTGTGGTCCCATCAATTTAGTTCACCTTTGAGGACCATTTTCCTCCCCAGAGGATTTAAAATTTTATCAATTCTTTGGTTTGGGGTTCTACCTAAACTTTAGTTTTCCCATTCATTTGATGTGCCATTCTTTCTATCCTACATGTAATTTCTCTTGGTCTTCACCTATCTGGTAAGCCCAGATTGCCTATTTTTATACCTATTTGTATGTGTAAGTTATTTATCTCATAAGAGTTTGAATTTCTTACTGGGAGAGAGATGCTTCCTGTGAGTTTTTGTGATCTTTAGAGAGTTAGATTCTGTGTGTGCTTCAATTTCTGTGTAAATGGGATGATAATACAGCTGTATTATAGATTGTTGCTAGGATTTAGTAAGTTACTCATGGAAGGTATTTAGAATAGTATGTTATGTAGATATTAGTATGTTGTACAATGCTTTCTTTCTTTATATATAGTAGATATTCACTGAGTAAAAATTTTACAGTATTTGGAGTATTGATAAATGAGTGAATTAAACTGAACATTATTCTTAGTTTTCATAAATAATGTTAATGCATACCAGGTTTGCTTTTTTTTTAAACAACCATTGTTTGTTCATTAACTAATTCATCCAGAAAATAGTAATTGAAGGGGTTCTTACCTGCCAGACAGTAGTTCAAGGTGTTGGGAACATCATAGTGAATAAAGACCATGTTAAGGAGTTACATAGGTACTTAATTACATATTGAAGTACAAGATATTATAATAGGCAAGAGTCTAAATTAATTCTGTGGTCAGAGTAAAAACTAGCCTTTTCTGATATGAGTCTGAAGAATTCTCTATGGTATATGAAACTATCACACCATTTTTTTCCTTGCTTTAGAAAATAGACTACTAGCTGTAGTATCCAACATGCTACCTTTAGCTGCCAATGTAGTTATTCCTAACAATAATAATAGTCAGTGACTATTTTTACCTCTTGATGACATATCTGAGAATTTTTGATATCCCAGAGTGTGAAATTGAGATTCATAAAATATTGTTTCAAATGATGGTTCTTTGTATGTAATGCTTACTATAAAATTAGGTATATTGTCAAATTGCTATGAATTGAATCCATAGAATTCATGGAGGGTTTGAAACTTGGCACATTCTTGATTTTAATATTTGTGATTCCATATTTAAAATTGTTTGTATTTCTTTACATGTTAGGTATTGACTCCACAGAAGTTAGAATTGTTACGAGCCCAAATACAACAAGAATTAGAAACTCCTATGAGAGAACGTTTTAGGGCTCTCGATGAAGTAAGTCGTTTTTCTTTTTATTAAGGTCTCATTGATATACAATCACACGAACAAAATTGTGATTACTAGATGCCCCCCATTATCAAGTCCCCACCACATACCCCATTAGAGTCACTGTCCATCAGCGAAGTAAGATGCTGTAGAGT